GCGAACAAAGTAGTGATTGGCTTGATAAAAAAGCATGTTGGGAAGAAACCAAAAAATTGGCATAAGACGTTAGACCAGATTTTGTGGGCTTGTCGAACGTCCCCAAAAGAAGCCATAGGTACAACACCATATAGGCTAACTTTTGGCCATGATGCAGTGTTGCCAGCAGAAATTTGTCTTCAATCTGCAAGGGTTCAGAGACATTATGATATTCCCTCTGAAATTTATTGGGATATGATGTTAGACGAACTAGTGGATTTAGACGAAGAAAGATTGCGCGCTCTTGACCTACTCAGGCTTCAGAAGAAAAGAGTAGAAGACTCTTATAATAAAAAGGTGAAACCTAAAGTATTTTCGCCTGAAGAACTAGTTTGGAAGGTGATTCTTCCCATGGATCGAAGGGATCGAAGCATGGGAAAATGGTCACCCAAATGGGAAGGACCATTCAGAGTTATCCAGACTTTTTCTGGTGGAGCCTATGAAGTCGAAGAGCTAGGTGAAGATAAAAGGCTCTTGAGAGTAAATGGTAAATATTTGAAAAAGTACAAACTTACACTCCAAGAGATAAAAATAAAATAACAAGTAATGACTAAATTAACCATAAAAAAAAAGCCAAAATGGAAAATTTTTATAATTTAGCCAAAATGGCAATGTTGTCGAATACATATTACAAAATATGGTTAAAAGGCTGAATCAATCAGAAGGTAATGGAGTCCTTGAGTCGAAGGTATTTGGTTTGTTGCAGCTCCAATCTTTTGTTGCACAAGGCATTCGCCTGCACAAGCTTGGCAATCTGATCGTCGAAGCCTTGAGCTTTCTCAGCAAATTCTAGGCCCTGTGTGATTTCAGTTTGACTTTCGGTGTCTGGAACAGTCGAGAGAAGTTCCTCCTTGCGCTTAGTATTGGCATTTATCTTAGCCTCTATTTCTTCGATTTGCGCCTGAAGGGAAGCATTCTCTCGATCGATGGCATCCACTTCTTCTTGTTTAGATGCTTTTTGCTTCGACAACTCCGCAATTCGAGAAGTTGTCTCTGCTACAGCAGTCCATGCAGAAGAGCTTTTGCCATATAACACTTCAAGCTGGCTATTAAAGCCCCTTTGTCGCCGATAATCTGCTGAGACTTGATCTATAATGGAGTGTAACTCCATGATAAAGCCTGAGACTTCTGGAGGCACAGCTAACAAGTCTACGACATTCAAAACAGCCCCTAAATATGATGGAGCAGTAGGGTCCCCCTCCAAAGCTTTCATCAAGTCCTTCTTGAAAAACTGAGCCTTAACCTTCGTCAAAGCCTCATCGAGAGGAGAAGTTTCAGTGGACTTCCCCGACAGAGTAGGAACCTCCTGGCTAGCGTCAGACGAACTTTTGCTCTCGATGATGGAGTTCAGATAGCTAACAGGATCAGTTTGCTTCAAGAGTTCTAAGTCCTCTTTCGACCTATGCTTTGTTGAGGTAACAACCTTTGCAACAACATTGTCTTGGGTTTGAGGCTGTTGAGTAGCATTTGCCTCGACTTGACTTTCTTCGACTCGGACTGCGGCAGTACCAACGTCATCATGGTTCCCTTCGCCAGCGTCATCTTGGTTCCCTTCGCCAGCGGCACCTTGATCCTCTTCGCCAACGTTGCCGTGGTCCCCTTCGTCACGATTCTCTTCCGACAGATCCACCACCTGAATCTCTTTTGGCTGTTGCTCTTCTGTTTGTGGGTCTTCTGATGGTTTTTCTGCTGTTTCAGCATTGGCCTCATTTATTTCAGTATGGGCTTCATCGTTCGCCAAGTCTTTTTCTTGTGGCCTGCTGAGTTCAGCAGACTCCAATGTTTCAGAAGTCCTTGGCGCTGAGCTTTCAGTGGTGTCCTGAAAAGAAAAGAAGAAGAATCTTATAAATTCGAAAGAGACATAGTCGAACGTAGGTATCGACACCTAAGTTACAAAGGGATCAAAAGAGATTACCTGTAAAGTAGCTTCAGCCCCAGGGCTGGAATTGTCGCTTTCGACAGGCTTATTGAGAAGAACGTTTAATTCCTCCTCCGTTGGCTCCTCAATGATTACTGGAGGTGGCCTGGGCTTTCTCCCAGCAACCTTTATTCTAATTGTTCGACCCTCAGGAACAGGAACGTCCTTCTTCAGCTTTCGCCTTTTTAGAGGAGCAGGGGGAGAATCATCTTCTTCGTCGCTCCCGGATTCGACCGTCAGTGCTGGCCGTTTCTTGGGCGAGGGTGCCTAAAAAACCAATTGGAATTCGATTTAGCAGTTGCATCGAAAGTCAAAAAATTAAAACCAGAAGAAAATAATGAAAGTCTGGTTATCGATGCAGAAGCCTTTTTCGAAGGGCCTTCCCCCTGTTGGTTTGTTGTGGTCTTCGCCGGCGCTATAGTCTTCGCCGGCGGTGGAGGTTTTGTTAAGGGGCCTCCTCCCTGTTGGCCTTCTGCAGCCTTCTTGGCTGCAGGCTTTCGAACAACTGAAAGTAGACGAAATAATTAAACAGGCTAGTAGTCGAAAGAGAAAGACAAGGTAAGTTGAAAGGATGAACTTACATTTCTTTATTTTGTCCAAGACAAGGACAAAAGATTTCTGAAGCTCATCCACGAAGTCCTTCTCGTCGAAAAACTCCTCAGCGTAATAACTTTTCCACCACTCCTCGAAGGATGGTGAGCAAAGAAAGTTAAGCTGGTAGTCGAACAACGAAAGAACTGTTCGACCAGCATATCTGCTGATATGCTTAGTGGCAGCTTCTTCAGTGTAGCCGTTCTGCAGAAATGGAAGGGTGCAGCGTGCGCCCTCGTTTTTGGGAATTGTCATGATGACAATTTGTGAAATGACGTTTGACACACTGCACGCCGTACTGAGGTGACATCTTAGGTACGGATAAATGATGGTTTTTCTTGGGATTGTCAGTGGTTGGTAGAAGACAACAAAAAGTGCACAATTTAATTTGTGACTAAGAATGAAAAGACAAGTGTCGAATGGCATTTCAAAGAATGCCTTTTTCTTTCAGAGTCGAAATAAGGCATTCTTGGGGGGCAATTTGTTGGCTCCTAAATTTGACACCCTGGTTTCATTAATGTCAGCCATTGAAGCTGAAGGATGTTTTCGACCAGCTAGGTCCGTCGAAATGCCCATCGAAAGATGGCAATGTACTTAGAAGATTTCTTCCAAAGGAGAAGTTGGTTGCCTTCGACGTCGAAGGTGTTTCTCGTCGAAGATGCTTCTCGACGAAGGTGTTCGATGATTCAGAGTGGAACAGTTTGAAATTCAAGCGTTTGGAGGGAAAACGGTTTCCAGCGGTTACCAAGTGCAACGTGCAGAGATCTGGGGCGTCGAACGTTGAGAACGTGCCAAGTGGAATCATCTCGAAGCAATGTAACTGTCCGACGGTTACTTGGGATGTTTTAGTATAAATAGTAGTAGTTCACGCAGTTTCTCGCGTGTGTTCACAATTATATACAAAGTCACTCATATAGATTCGAGTACCCAGCGTGTGAGAAAGAATTGTTGAGAAATGTATGTGTGAAACAACAACTTTATTAATCAAAGTCATTTACTTTTCCAGAAACTTTACTTGCTTTCTTCTTTACTTTCCTGTCGAAATCCTTTACTTTAAGCCTTCATTTATTTTACCAAGCCTATTTCTTCATGCAATTTACTTAAAGCCTCTTTACTTTATTGTCATTTAACCATTATCCAATTTAATCAAAACCTCAAAATTAACCTATGTCCTAGGATCAATCTGATCGATCTTGCGAGTAACCAAATAAGTAACCATTTGGAGGATCAGCGGTTGTTTACCAATAACCACGGTAAACAGGTACGTACCGAAAATATATTTTCAATTTAACGAATATTTTTGAAATTTCGCGTAGTACACTAAAATACTATAGGGTGAAAAAAGAAGTCCTCTATTTTCATTGTTCTACTTTGACTACTTTTTGAAAGAAAAAAAAAAGCAAAATAACACTATATATGCATTGAACAAGATTCGAATACACATTGTCTACTTCAAAAACTTCATATTGAACCGCTGCAGGACAAGATAAAAACCTTCGTTAAATCACAAATGTTTAATATATATTAACTTTTTATTTATAAAATTCATAAATCCAAATTTTTAGAAATACAAAGCTCCGGTTATTTGGAGGCCCTGTGCAATGGGCCAGGTTGCACATTGCCCAAAAATGGCCCTGATCATAACTATAAAAATATATACATACAATTCAGTTCGGTTTGGATCGATTTTGAAAAATCAATTTGAAATTCAATCTGAACCGATCAATTTTTATAAAATAACATCCAAACACATTTAATAATATTCAATACATTGCAATTTTTGATTTTGTTTGATCGATTTGAAATTTTTATTTGAATCAATTTTTTATTTTTATTTTTTACATTAAATACCCTTACTTTTTTTTTTTTTGTATTAAACACTCCTACTTAAAACAACCTATGTATTGCTTTCTCATCTTACTGAAAAATTAAAATTATCTTTAAAATTTAAAAATATATTTTATAACACATCTCTAATAGAGATACATCAAATTCATACGTAAATTAGTCACACTCTTATTTTATAAAACAATTAATTCAAAAACATATTTTTGAAATAATTCCATAAATATACTTTTAGATTTTCATAGATGTTTTTCACCAAAAGTTAAAATGGGATAAACAATTCCTTTATTTCAACTTTATTAGTTGAACCCGTTGGATACGATTCGGGTCTAGTTTGATTACGACCCATAAATGCACATACAAAACCCGAGTCTATGAAACCGGTACGAACCGGCTAAACATGACGATCCGTAAACCGAGTCAGCTGTGTGGCGGCGAGCGCCTCCACCTCCGCCTCCGCTAACTTTGAACAGACAACCACCAATCACCGATATATTCAATTAATTGAATCCTCTTCTTAATTTTCTCCGCTCACAACACCACCAGTAGATAAATCGAAGAATCTTCAATTTTCTTCTTTTCTCACTGTTCCACTTCAGTGTAGGATATGCTCAGTACATTGACGAAGCGTTGCTTTTGCACCGTCGCTCCTCGCCCTTGGCTTTTTGTTGGTTTGGGTAACCCTGGCGACAAGTACAAAGGAACTCGACACAATGTACTTCACTTTATTTTGTTTATTTCAGTTTCTGTATATTGATCGTTTCAGTTTCTGTTAGAATTTTTCAAATACAGTTACAAGTTTGTTAGGAGTTAGTTTTTCTTTTATTTCTAGTTTCTAGTTAATGGTTACCTACCATCAACTATCAAAATTATATGCATTTTTGGTGATGAAATTTGAAAATGTTTTCGTTTGAATCAGGTTGGCTTTGAGATGATTGATGCATTTGCCGAATCAGAGGGGATTGCCATGGATACGGTTCATTGCAAAGCCATTTTTGGAAAAGGTTTGTCTGTTTCATTTGATAAATTGATACTCTTCTTTTGTAATCCTTAGTTTTTAGGCAAATTAATTTGTTACAGGTTACGTTGATGAAGTTCCAGTTTTCCTTGCAAAACCTCAAACTTACATGAATCTCAGTGGTGAATCGGTAAGGAATTAGTTTAGTTTTTACAAGTTTTTTGTCATTTAAAGCATTTGTCAGTTGCCGCATGCGAAAGTGGTTTAATTTATGAATTCATTTGATTATATATCGGTTTGCTCAAATTAATAATTGAATAGGTTGGCTGTTCTGGTTACAACTGACAATATTGAAATTTAGTAATTAATCTTTTTGTTTGGAATATTGGTGAGGGCGGTTAAAACATATTGTGCATGATTTCTAGTTGCAACTCAGCTAAAAATTAAAAGTTCGTGAGATTTTGTTAGTCACTTTAATAAGAAAATATTGAAATTGCTATTGCTGATATAGAGTGGACTATGTTGGATTCCAACGAAATTGGCTTCTAGGTGATTGATGGTGATTTGATGACAGATTGTTGACTCACTGAGGGAAATTAAAACAGAAGACGGTTCTATAAAAATACTTAGGGTTGAGAATGGTCCTCATGGCTGATTGCTTGCATCATTCCTGTCTGCTTTTACTGTTTTCTTTGTATTTGAAGTGCCGACTTCTTGCTGTGTATTGACATTGATTCCATATGAGGTTTCAGCTGTTTGAAGTAGCATACAACTGGTTTCATTAGCTTTTGATTTTTTATGTTTGGCTATGTGTGAAGTCTTATGCTTATTATCAATTATGCTACATGTTATGACTCTAAATCTTACTGCAGGCAGGACCACTGGCTGCTTATTACAAGTTTCCCCTTAATCAGGTGCTTGTGGTAGGTTATTCCATATTGTTGCACCTCCTCTCAAAGATTCTAATTGGTCATAGGTTTGTTCTTCTTTATTCAATATCCTTTTTATGGATGCAGTTTCACGATGACATGAACCTGCCATGTGGGGTGCTTCGTCTTCACGACAAAGGGGGTCATGGAAGCCACAAAGGGTACGTCACTATATGATGGTTGTAGTTTACACTGAACATAATATACTTGTTGCTGAACCCAATTACATACTCCTCTAGAGATATTATGATGTTTATTACACATTAGATTATGTAATTCACTTATTACAAGACCCAATAAATATGTGTCAAAATCTAAAATGAAGTCATGTATATGTTATTGTAGTCATAATCCACAACTATCACTTTGAAATCAATTCTAGCTTTTGTTATGATGATGATCTAGATGGCAGTCTAGGAAGGAGTAGTAAATCAAATTAGGGTGGATTATCTTCATTTGACGGTGAAGACCCTGTAAGGGTGGATTACTTGCACTTAAACATACTTCGATGTCCAAGGTACCACAAAAAAGGGAGGAGTAAGGTTGGCAAAACTGAGCATGGAAGGGACTAGTTTTCACTGGTTTAATTTGTTGTGCAATATGAAAGACGACCTAACATGGCAGAGATTGAAACAAGCTCTGATATAGAAATACGATGGGCAATAGAGCGACAATCCTTTTGATGAAATGAAGGATAGACAGTTAGTGTTAACGAATGCATCGCAACACTTGAGTATGCTTCTTGGTGGGGTAAAAGCGTGGATTGTGTGGATTGTTGGCTCCTGAAGTTGGAAAGGAAGTGGTTTAAACTTTAAGCGTAGATGGGTTTGGGCCCTATTGGAATGAAAATTTCCAGTCTAATCATAACCCAGGGTTGACCCAAGGCAGCCCTAGGCTTAACCCGTCTAGAGCATCACAAACAAAAGAGCGGTTCATCCAATTCAAACCCTAGCCCCATTTCACTTCGAATTCAAACACGGTGAGGTACAATAGAGACGACAAGAGAAAATGGAATGGTTAGCGAAACACATCCCTTATTCTGAGTTATTCTGAGTTGAAGAAGCATCGTGCTCAATCTTTGTGTTTCCGATGCGGGGAAAAATACCATCCCTACATCAATGTGTTGAGAAATAACTACAATTGGTAATTTTGGGGGACGACGAGACAGGGAATGAAGAAGAGGTGATAGAAATTTAAGTGAAGGAAAATGAAGAAGAGAGGCGTTGGACTGCAATTCCACGGGCCTCTTCAGATTCAAGGAGATTTCTAACTCCAAAACTCCACCTTTGATGTTTAGATTGGAAGGAAGGTTGATGGGAGTGAATATTGTAATCTTAATAGATATCAAAGCTAGTCAAATTTCGTATCACCTGAAGTTGCGACAACACTTTGTTTAACAGTGAAACACAACCCGACGTTGAGGGTTAAGTTGGGCGACAAATATTGTGTGTTCACCACAGGAAAGTGTAATAAGTTGGAGGATCAATTCGGTCAATTCACTACTGAGGTGGGCACTTATGTATTGGAGTTGGGTGGTCTTAAACTTTTGGGTTGAGACTAACTAGATGCCCAAAATCCTAATTTGCAACCCTTTTACTCAACAGCTTCCCACTCTCATACTTCACTCATCTCTAATCATCCCTAACATATTAGTTATGACTTTTAGTGCTAGAACACAAAGAAACATCAATTCCTATCATCTACCAAAACAAGATCAACCTGCAACTCGCACAATCATAGCTTAGGGTTTATGTTAAAGGAGTATCATAATCTAATGGGAGGGGAGACCCACCTCAATTCAAATAATGAAGAAGATGACAAGGTTGATGATGAGCTTCCTTCCTTCCTATCCACAGGTATGTCCAAATCCTGACAAAGGGTGGCAGCAGCATATGAATCATTTGTCACAAGTTTTGACAGTGTTGAGAGAAAATTGCTTTGTGGCAAATTGAAAGAAGTGTACATTTATATTTGAGCCGCATGATCTCTAAACAAGGCATGATGGTGGATCCTGCGAAGTTCAAGAGTGTGGTTGATTGGGGAATCCTTCATAATGTTAAAGGATTGAGGGTTATCTTGGGGTTAGCGGGTTACTACCAGAAGTTTATCGCGGGGTACGGAAAAATAGCATAACATTTTCTTAGAATTTGGGTTGGACCTAACTCATTCCTATAAAACCGGCTTGTAAAGTGAGGGCTGCCCAAACTTTATAAACACTACATATGTCATATTTCTAAGCAATGTGGGACTAAATCCACCCCTTCAATGTTGGAGGCTACAACGAAGGCAAGCCTAATGCCACAATTAGCCTAATGCCGCAATTAGGCAACTAGAGGCGGACCGTAATGAAGGCGGAAATTCCAACACCCCCCTCACGCTCGGGCCTCAATGAGGCCAAAATGTGGATGATGCGGGAAACCCAACAACAAATTTATTATAAGCTTTGCTACCATCTTAGAATTTGGGTTTGACCTAACTCTTCCCTACAAAACCGGCTTGTAAGCTGAGGGCTGCCCAAACTTTATAAACACTATACATGCCACATCTCTAATCAATGTGGGGGACTAAATTCACCCCTTCAAACCCGACACAATGAAGGTGTTGGAGGTTGCAACGAAGACAAACCAAATGCCACAATTAGGCAACTAGGGATGGATCGCAATGAAGGCAGAAATTTCATCACCTTTAACCAAACTGACCAATAAGGGAGGTTTTCATTGAGGAGCGGAGGCTCTTGGGGAGGTCTTGATGCAGAAAAAGAGACCCATTGCATATTTCAGGAAGGTCTTGTCCAACTTAATTTGAGTAATTTGGCATATGAAAAAGAGTTGATGGCTCTTGTGTTGGCGGTTCACCATTTGCGGACTTATCTTTTGGGTAGGAATTTTGTTGTGTCCTTGAATTGGAAGAGCCTTTGCCACATGTGCAGCAAAGAATCACAACTGCTGACCAGCAGAATTGGATTTCCAAACTGTATGAAGACGTGAAATTTACTGCAGTGACATCTGTCCCAGTTTGGTTGCAGGCCCCTCTGGTGCAGCAAAAGGTACTTGAGGATCAAATTTTGGAGGAAATGACTCCTGCAGCAAAATCCAGCTGCGAGACCCGTTTCAATTTGAAGCAGGGTATCCTGTTTTATCAGGATCGACTAGTGCTGTCATCATACTACACTTGCATTCTGTCATTGTTGGAGGAATTCCATGCATTTCCAAGTGGAAGTCATTCTGGATTTGTGCGAACATATCACAAGATTGAGGGAAACTTATATTGGATAACAAGGTTGTCAAGTTTGGGATCTGCATAAGATAGGCAGGATATAACAAGATCGTAAAATATAAAATTGTAGCTAAGATCGGAAGATCCTATCCAATTATTTCTGAAAGATCGAGAGGTGGTATCAAAAATCGTAAAACATGAAATCGCAACATAAATTGTAGGATCCTACTAAAATGAAAAATTAATACTATATAAACTATTTTTACATGATATATTTTAGTATGACGTATTTTAGTGGGCAAGTGTATCAGTGGGAAAGTGACTCTTTCATATTCTTTAGAAGTGGATGATTGAGTTTTCATACTTTATTATTACCCCATGAAACATTTGATAGACATTATGGACATATTTGGTATATTACTAGTGCGGCAAAATGATTGTTTTATTCAATTGATATCATAAAACTGATTAAATAAGAAGTATATATAGGACAGATAATTTAATTTTGTACAATTAAATAATGCTGAAAGTTAATTCACTATAAATGCTATCATATCGTAAAGCATGAAATAAAACCAAAACTTTAATCCTAATTATTACCTACTAATAGCTGTACAATCAGACTCCTAAAGATCCAATTTTGACTTCGTAATCAACACTTCCCCTCAATCTGAGTGGTAGATATCTATCATGCCTAGATTGAATCTGATATTTTCATTATGTATTTCTTGGGAGAACTTTAGTTAGTATGGCTGCTGTTTGATTGCACGATGATACATGATCAATACTTATAGTACCATTGTCAATCTTCTCCTTTATGAAATGTCGGTCATTTTCCACGTATTTTGTTCTATCATGGTGAACTGGGTTCTTTGCAATGCTGATGGCAGCTTTGTTGTCACAATATAACCTTATGGTGTAATTGATTTGAATTCCAATTTCATCCAGTATCTTCTTCAGTCAGATTCCTTCACAAATGCCTTGTGCCATGACCCTGAATTCAACTTCTGCACTACTTCTAGCTACCACAGACTGTTTCTTGCTTCTCCAAGTAACCATGTTTCCCCACACAAAAGAGCAATAGCCAGTAGTTGACTTTCAGTCTGATATACAACCAACCCAATCTGAGTCAGTGTATACTTCAATATCACTATTTGAATTTTTCCTGAAATGAAGACCTCTACCTGGTGTACCCTTAAGGTATTGTAGAATCCTGTTCACAGCTTTCATGCGAGCTTCGGTAGGACTTGTCAAGTAGCGACTTGCCATGCTCACGACAAATCCAATATCAGGCCGAGTATGAGTTAAGTAGATTAGTTTCCCGACTAGACTTTGATATCTATCTTTGTTAGCTTGAGGACTTTCTTCGGAGCTGCATTGGCTTACCGATTCCATAGGAGTGTTGGCAGCCTTACAGCCAAGCATTCTGGTTTTTTGGAGTAAGTCTAGGGTGTATTTCCTTTGAGACACATATATTCCCTCCTTTGTACAGCTACTTCCATACCTAAGAAATACTTAAGTTACTCCAAGTCTTTCACTTCAAACTCTCTAGCCAAAAGTTCTTTTAAGTGTTTAATTTGCTCATGACCATCTCATGTGATAACAATATCATCAACATACACAATGAATAAAGTTACCTTCCCTTCCAATGAGTGTTTGACAAACATAGTTTGATCTGATTGGCCTTGTATGAATCCATCTTTTTTGACAACTCGAGTTAGTCTTTCAAACCATGCTCTAGAGGATTGCTTGAGACCATACAAGGATTTTTGAAGATTGCACACCTTGTTTAAGGTACTAGATGATTCAAGTTCCGGGGGAATTTGCATGTATACTTCCTCTTCTAACTCACCACTTAGGAAGACATTTTTAATGTCTAGTTGATGTAGTGGCCAATCCAAATTTGCAGCTACGGATAATATGAATCGTACTGAGTTAAGTTTGGCCACTGGAGCAAATGTCTCTTCATAGTCTATGCCATATGATTGGGTGAAACCCTTTGCCTCCAATCGAGCCTTATATCGGTTTATGCTCCCATCAACATTGTATTTGATTGAAAATATCCACTTACATCCAACTTGTTTCTCCCCTTCTGGTAAAACAATAATTTCCCAAGTGTTATTTTTAATCAATGCTTTAACCTCTTCTGTTACAACTGCTGCCCACTCAGGCTGTTGAAGTGCTTCTTGAACATTTTTTGGAATATTTGTGTTGTCAAGTGCTGCTACAAATGCTCTGTATTTTTGTGATAATTTTCCATATGACACAAATCTTTCAATGAAATGTTGAGTGCAAGTTCTCTTCCCTTTTCTTAATGCAATAGAAACAACATCATTGTTATTTAAACTCGTATGAACAAGTTCAGAGTTAGGAGCAATTTTACGCGAGGAGATTCCATCTAGAGTCCGGTCAGATTCATGGTTTTGCATCGAAGTAGTGTTTGACTCTACCATCTGTTTGTTTTTCTTCCTCCTAGTGTAAAATTTACAGTCAGCTTCTTGTGCATTACGGTAGACATGTGCGGTTTCAAGGACATGCTGGGATGGTTTTGTGGGATTTTGTAGTTCAGCTAGTGTGAAATTTTCTGATTCAACTGGTGTAGAATTTTCTGGTTGTGCTGATTCAGAATTTACCGGTTCTGCTGGTGTAGAACTTATCGGTTCTGCTGGTGTAGAACTTATCGGTTCTGCTGGTGTAGAATTTATTGTGTCAGCTAGTGCATAATTTATCAGTTTAGTTGGTGAAAATTTATCGATACTGCCGGTGCGATTTTAAGGGCAGGTTCAACCATCTCAAAACTTTAAGATTGGAATTCTGCGTTCTGTTCAAGAATAAGGTGGCTGAAAGGACAGCCTCTCCCCAAAAGTGTTTTGGTACATTTGTAGCTAACACGAGAGATCTTGTTACTTCTAATAGTTGTCTATTTTTCCTTTTTGCGACCCCATTTTGTTGGGGGTATCTACACATGAACTCTGGTGTACAATTCTATGGGTTTTAAGGTAAGACTCTAGAACCGAATTAAAATTATTCACGGCCATTGTCAATTCTGAGCACCTTAATTTTTGTTTGGAATTGCGTTTGCATCAAATAATTTTCCAACTTCTGATTTCTCTTTCATAAGAAATATCCACGTGACTCCTGTGTGATCATCAATGAACGTGACAAACTATTTAGCATTTGTTATGTTGCTGACTTGAGAAGGCTCCCATACATCACTGTGAATTAAGGAGAAAGGGTGAGAGGGTTTATATGGTTTAGGTGGGTATGTGCTTCGGGTATGCTTTGATAATAGACACACTTCACATTGAATATTTTTTTTTGGTTTCTATTGAAGAGTGAGGGAAACGTTTTGTGTAAATGCGTGCAAGGTAGTCAGACTCGAGATCCTACGCAGGATTGGGTAGGGGTAATAAGATCGTGAATCGGGAGACCGTAACACGGATCGTATGACTGTGAGAGAAGGGAGAATCGATGTAGTCATTGAGATTAATGAGAGAGATGGAGTGAATAAGGGGAGGAGAATCTGTATTTAAAATGAGTTAACGTGAGAGAGATATTGATTGAATAGGAGGGAAATTAAATTACACTAATGATGGATTATACTATTTGGGAAGTTGCACAAATCAGGTGAATAGGTATTATTACTGCTTGTATTAGCCTGAACGTATTAATTACCGACACAAAAGTAGCTTTAAAAGAAAGAGAACAAAAACATTTTTTGGGGTTTTTCAGGTTTTTTTTCTGAACCGGGTCGCGAACCTGACCCACGAACCCGAATTCATGGGGGTTTGAACATAAACGGACAGAAGCGTCGATTCCGGCGATTCCACGTGTAATTGCGGCGATCTTGGCTGCGCCTACCAAAATTTGATTCCGGCCATACTCTGGCACGGAATAGTGCTGCAAGATCGCAAAATCGTTCGATCCTACGAGTTAGATCGCGATTCTGTCTACCTTGAATACGTGAAAGTTGGGTGGCCTAATCGATAGTGCCACAGCATTACAGAGTTTTCATTAGTTGGGGTAATTGCACAAGAGTTAGCTTTGAGTTCTTCGGAGAAACTTTCAACTTGTAAACAGTAGAGTCCACCACACTCTTTAGTGAGAAATTTAGTGACACATCTCAAATCTTTTGTCAATTTGCTAATAGACAACAAATTACAATCAAGTTTGGGCACATACAATACACAATCCAGAGTAATATCTTTTGAAATAATAACTGAACCTGTACCAGTAACCTTTGCCAAAGTGTCATCAGCAATCCGAATAGTGAAGTTATCATAACAGGGAGAATACTTGTTAAATACTGTTATATCTCCCGTCATGTGATCTGAGGCTCTTGAATCTATGATCCATGATTTTGGTTTTGCTTTGCAAGTGTGTAAAGCATGTAAAAAAATTACCTTTTTGTGCTACTGTAGTTGTACCACTTTTCCCTGCAGTAAGAATAGTTTGTTGGAACATTTTCTGCAGCGTGTCCATTTGTTCTTTGCTGAAATGACAATTCCATTCCACCTCTTCATAGGTATCCGATTGTTGCCTCTCCCATTGAAGGTAGTTTTGGCCATTCAACTTGTCACTAGTGACAAGAAGTGCAGCTCCATCTATTGAGCTGGTAAAATTTGTGCCAGCCTCTGCGGGATTGCCTTATGTTTTCTCTTTTTTCACGACTGGGTCGATGAAAGAGATTAGGGATGATTAAGATGGTATCAAAGTCTCGTTTAAGATCCGTTGGGCCACTTACTATCGGGCCACCCACAATTAAGTTCTGCGCTCTAGACGCTCATCCTGGACGTAAAAGGGGTGTTAAGAGTCCCACATCGGACAATAGATGACCTGAGCATGTGCTTATAAGTGGGGGCATCCTCACCCTACAAGCTGGTTTTGTAGGATCGAGTTAGGCCTAACCATATTTCTTAAAACTAGGTTTATCATAAGTCAATTATATTTAAAACTGTTAAGAGTCCCACATCGGATGATATATGGCCTAAACATGTCTTTGTAAGTGGGAGCAATCCTAACCCTATAAGCCAGTTTTGTAAGATTGAGTTAGATCCAACCACGTTTCTTAAAAAAAAACGAACCCTATAAGTGAGATGTTTATGCTCTAAACGATAAATCTAAAACTTCATTATTTCAAAAGGCTTGCGTTCATCACCGTCAAACCACAATTGTCAATTACACATCTGCATCTTGTCATCTTTTCCGGCTTTCAAAACACATGTATTTGTGTTTTTTTCCCCTCACAATTTGGTTGCAACACACAATTGTATTTAAGACCGGGATCGTTGAGAGTGAGTGAGATCGTAAAATTTTAAGATTTTAAGATCTAGATCGAGATCTTGACAACCATGGGTATGAAGAACACAATGCAGCAACTTGTAAGGAGGTGTGACATATGTAAGGAGTTGTGACATATGTCAAAGGCAGAAGTACGCTGAGTCTTCACCAAGGGGCTTGCTGCATCCCTTCCCAATTCCGGATCGAATTTTGAAGGGCATATCCTTGGATTTCATCACTGGACTCCTTAAAGTCCAAAGGATTCAAAGCTATTTTTGTGGTGGGGGACCGATTGTTAAAGTATAGTTAATTCATTTCCTTTAAGCATCCTTACATGGTAAGAAAAATGGCCGAGGTATTCGTCAAAGAGATAATACGCTTTAATAGAGTCTCTCGATCTACAGTGAGTGACCGTGATCCATTGTTTGTCAATTTATTTTGGAAAGAGCTGTTCCGTTTACAGGGAACCATTTTGAAGACGAGTTCATCCTATCGTCTAGAGACAGATGGTCAAACATAAGTGGTTGATAGATGTTTGGAGGCTCATTTACGCTGTTTCGCGTCGGAACAATCCACCTATTGGTCTCATTGGCTGCACTGGGAAGAACTGAGGTATAATACCATGTTTCATTTGACCATGCAACTCTCTTTGAGGCTGTGTATGAAAGGAAACCCCTACTCTGGTTCCGTTTCTGCAATGGGTGACTAAGGTGAGCAGTACCGGCTGAGCTGGTGGACAGACAAAACTTTGAGACAGTTAAAACGAAAAGACGGGCAGAAAAGAAACGGCGAGACTGCACTTTTGAGGTAGGGGAGTGTTAAGAGCAAAGCATGGTGGCTAGGAGGATCAACCAAAAATTGGCTCCAAGATACTTTAGGCCTTTTCCCATAGTAAGGAAGGTGGGGGCTGTGTCATACAAACTGAAGCTGCTAGAGTACACTCAATTTTTCATATATCAGTATATCACAGCTGAAGTGACCATTGGGAATTACAAAGCTGAGCCTACATTACCAAAAGGGTTGGAGGTAGAGATTGGTGATGTATTGGAACCAGAAGAGTTGCTGGCTGTGAAAGAAGTCCAGGCAGGAGGAGGGTAGGTGGTCACTGGTTAAGCAATGCCTAATGAATTTGAAAGGCAGGATCTGCTAAAGAGTCAGTTTCCTTCATTCAGTCCCGAGGACAAGGCTGGACTTGCAGCGGGATGCAATGATAGAGCACACGGGCCCAATGACTATGGGGCTGTTGAGGCAAGGTCCAAACCATGTGTTTGCAGGGTTTACACATAAGTTATATGCGAGGTGTTATGGACTATATTTTGGTACTCAAGCAAATTGGGATAGTTGCAATTTGCATTCAAATTCCAGCTTTCACCACAATTTCGAATCCGCTCAGACTTATACTTTTTTCAATTAAAAAGAGTGGGAAAGGGTGGGGTATTTTCCCATTAGAGCTGGAATGGTAGATTGAAATTGAATAGTATCTACTAGAGCAGATGCTAGATCAAAGTCAGTTACCTAGAATGGCTAGGACTTGGATTAGAAGTTGCTCAAATGGTTCAACATACCAGTCAGACAGATGACTTGGGTAGAGGTTACTATGATCCTGAATCAATTTATGTTCCTTTAGGACAAAGTTCCTTAGGAGGAGTGGGTGTTATGCATCTTGTTGGTACAGGTAGTACCAATCAATCCTTATAAGCCTTTCTTTAATCATGCAGTCCCATACCTGCAGTCTCATGATACTTCTCATTCCGATGTAAATTCGGTTTTTGCCTAGAAGCTGCCAGGAGCCGCTCATTGTCATGCCTTGTGCACCGGCGATCACTCCACGCCCTCGTCGGCCTCGGGTGTTACATGGCCACCAGCTTTTGCTAGGGCCTAGCCCTAGTCCAATATTGTTGAACCTGCCCAAAGCATATAAATAGTCAGTGGCTAGTCAGCAAACCTTAAGTAGAGAAGCTCTAATAATGTCAAGCAACTCTCTTCTGTATTTCGAGATTCAGATGCCTAGAGTGTTGGCTAGGTGACAGAGAAGGGTTGTCTTGATTTGTTATTCTTTTTCCCCCCAAATAAATCATTGTTCAAGATTTCTAGTACCCTAACTAAATTTGGGGAAAATTTCAAGGAATTTAAACAGGAAAAGGGAGAAGGGTGTGCCTCACTAGATAAAAAAGAAAACGATTGTTGGGCTTATGTTATGTTTGTGTTGAGTTTTATCATGTTTTTAGTTGGAGTCTTTAATCTGATGGCCATGAGACATGTTAGTTGTTGTTTTTTTTTTGAAATCTTGGTATCCAGCTTTGCGACTGACTAATCCAAGAGGACCAATCCCATTACCCACTAGTGGGTGGCCCGTTTAAAGCCAGAGTAAAGCTATGTATGGACTGGCCTAACACAAGGATTGTTAGCACCTAGCAGGATTCGAACTTGAAACCTTTGAGAGGAGCACACTCTCGAGGCCTAAGCCTCCACCACTAGTCCAACCCTTAGTTGTTTATGATATACTATTACGAAACTTAAGATGTTTTCTATCATTTAGTTTATTCTATGCATATCGAGTATTTTTTGTATATCTACACATACATAAATATCCCCGATGCTTCAGATAGGCCGCATAACCATCTGTCGTGGATTTTTGGTTTGCTGGCATGGTTCACCATGACACCATCTAAAATTTTTGCTTGTCAAAGGGCCATAAATTGTTATATCCGCACTGCACTATTTTAAGTGAAAAGGAAAATTGAATTTTTGAGCTGAAGTTGGAAGTAGGTGTTTATGATTCAATAATATTGTTTATGGGATGGATTGTGCTAGAAAATGAGTTCACGAAATTTTGTTATCTCTGATTTTTTTTCTTCCAATCAAGTGCTCCTCTCATGTGCTACCACTTATATTGTACTCTGCTCTTGCTTTTCAATGATCCAGGCTGAAGAGTGTTATTTACCATTTCAGAGATAATAGAGAATTTCCTCGTCTAAGAATTGGTTTGTATTTTTCATTACAGGCTGTTTATTCCCCCCACCCCCTGCTTTTTAGATCATTAGTGATTGTATTTTCAATTTGTTTTGCTGATAGGGATTGGGAAGCCTCCCGGACAAATGGATCCTAAAGCATTTTTGCTTCAAAAGTTTAATGTAGCAGCTAGACAACGAGTAAGTTCTAGGTTTATCTAGTGTAACTTGTCATGTTGATGCAATGTCATAAAAACATGTGAAATGATTGTCTGCATTTGGGTGGCCCTTTAGTGATTAATTATTAATGCGGTGAATTAGAAAATATTTGGGCAAAATGAAAGGCATAGTTATTAGTAGCATCCAATATGGGTTCACCCTGGGTCATTCCTATAGTATAGCAGCTTTCACGTGGTAAAGCTTGTGGCTGTTGCTATTTCATTTTCTTACATCAGGCTACATCCACTATATCAAAACTAGCCAAGTTGCAAAAATGTTAATTTGTTCCGTGTTTCTTCTCTTATCTTTCTTGTTGGACAGATTGACGAGGCTTTGCACGAGGGGGTAGATGCGTTGAAGCTCCTTCTATCTAAAGGTTTGGAAGTGAGTGCAAAAAGGTTCAACAAAGACCAAAAATATAAGCACTTAAGAGTGCAGACATTACCAGTTTGGTAGGATTCCATAATGGCAAGTTGTGTTATAAGTATGGTTAGTTTAGTTCATCGCTTTTAAGGTTTCAATAAATTGCCTTGGTGTGTATTAGTGTGTAAAAAGTAAGGAAAAAGGGGCTCAATTTTGAAAACATTCTTCCTTCAATTATGTATTCAACTTAGAAGCAGTCAGTTGTAAAATGTAAATTGGGAAATTAAATTAAAATTCCTGTTCATTAGCTATATGACATTGACTTGATAATTTGATATAGGTTAGATAGTGAGTACAAATACTTACTTAGGTAAGGAAACGAGAAACCCTGAGCAGGGTTCACACTCTAGGCTCAAATTAATAAAGACGTGGGTCAATCTTATTCAGTAAAATATCACTCATGTTGTTCACTTGCTTGACTTATTAATTGTATTTCATGTTGCTAGCTTGATTTTGACCCAAAAAAATCTTGCTCACTTGTTTGACTTATTAATTGTATATTTGTTTGACTTATTAATTGTATAGTATTTGTTTTTTCACTAGTTTCTTATGAATCTTCTATGACTTTTTGAGTGGTTTTCAAACCTTAGCATTATGCATTGAATTTGAGTTTGACCTCTTCTTTCGATTTTATGTTTGGAGTAGCTACTTCAATTTTGAAATAAAAAACTATTGCATAATACTATAAAATACTTTTTACATTGGAATTGGTTCCATTTGTTTCAGTATATTATGGGACGAATCAGAAGATAATAAAGACTTGATAAAAGCCAGCTGTTATAGTAAACTCCGACCATGATGGTGGAAAGTTCAGAAATTGGTTTGAACACAGAATTTAGTAAATATATCCATGTGCTACACCTCCCAAAAGCACCATATAAAATATAATCACAGATCTGATTTTCCGTAGTACCTTATATGTTGGCTTTTGTACCTTTTGCATGTTGCTTTCCTACTAATACTAGTGTTCATACTACATATTTAATGTATTTTCCTTTTTTAAAATACGATATTAGATGGTTCATTAATGATGAAATGTAATGGTCACAAGAAAATTAAATGAGCATCCACCACAATACCATTCACTACCGATTTCTTGGGTGAAAATTGTCACATGGGGATGCATTATAGGGAGCAATGCAAGAGAGCATGAAAGTTTATTTTATTTTTATTTAAATTGAAGCAACTAACTTGCAATTATATTATCAAGCTGTATTATATGTTGATCCAACCATGCAATCATGGAAATTTAATTAATGCATAGTGTTGTTATCCGATAGAGAAATAGGGATGGTACTATTGGTAGGTGGTTTTGTGCATGAATCATAAGTGCCAGCTTTGTTCATTTGGTGTGATTTATATTTATATAGTTGACCTTATCTTGTCATTTTTGAGTTTTGTGAATAAATTGCTACACCATGTGTTGGAGAGAATGAAAAGTTACAATGTCATAAATCAACTTATTTTATTTTGGGATCTAGGATTAAATTAGTTTTATAGTATAGTCAAATTTAAAAGATCTTTAGTGGTATTTGAGCTTGTTTGCAAACCGATGTAAACAAAACCGTGGAATATCTTGCTGCCGGGAATGCTTAGAGGAAATCATGTGCAGTGCAGCTCATTAAAGTTTTTCTTTTTCAAACCAATGTACAGTCAAAAGTTTGAAAATTTTTTGCCTCCAAATCTCTCGTAATTCTTTTGAAAATTTTAAAATATATCATTCGAATTTTATATTTCATAATGTAAATGAAAAAAATAAAAAATAATTAGAATACACTGACAGTATAAATTTTTTTACACCGTCAATAGATTATGAATGTTTAATTATAAATTATACTATTTTATTTTTACTTTAATTATGTATTAAATAATATTAATGAGTAGTTGTAATGTATTAACTATATAAAAAGTTTTATATTGATTGTACATAGTAATTACTCTCCTGAAAAAAATGTAAGTTTTTATGTGAAGGGTCTAACTAAGAGTTTAACTTCTTTCTTATCTTAAATTGATATACGATCTCTACTCAATAAATTTTCATATAAAAAGTAAATGAAATCAAATCACTTCAAAATAAATTTCATATAAAAAAAAAATGAAATCAAACAACTTACAAAATATTTCTATAAATATTTAGTTGGCATAGTTTGACAAATTGAATGCATATCAATAAAGTTCATTAAAGTTTTTAGTAAATTTTTTTTTTGTTTGGTATAAACTGAGTCGAGTATGGTAGAATCAACATAGGGGACGCACATTCTCTAACAGATTTAATACTAATGTGTGTTTAAAATTGAATTTAAATCTAAGATCTCTAATTAAATTAGAAAAAAATAATTAAAAATAATTTAAAATTAATTTTGTCAACAATGTATCATTACCTTTAAAATTCACATGTATTTAACCGTCTCTTTGAATAATTTAAAACTAACAAATAAAGTGGAGTGAAACGGAATAGAATAAAATAAAATAGATCAGAATGAAACATAAACTTTGTTCTATTATTTAAATATTTTATGATGAAACAAAACTAATATGTTATTCTATTGTTTAGAAATTAGATGAGACAAAATATTATAATTTTTTATTTTATTTTTATCCTATACTTCAAAAATATTAATGTATTAATGTAAAAATTTGGAGGATAAAATTAAAATTATATTATTAATTTATTTCATTCAATTGGATACACCTCAATTTAAAATAAAAAATTAACTAAAATAATAGTAATCGATGGAATTGATTCCATCACAATTCCATTCCATTCATTTTTTTAAAATCAAACAATCAACATAATATCATTCTACTCCATTTTATCATTTTCCATTAATCCAAACAATACCCTAAGAAATTCCAGAAATTTCTTTAGCCTTAAATTTATATGCTGATTATTCATAAACATGAATTATTGTTGAATCATAATTAGAAACATGATTAACATTAACAATATTTATTGAAGAAGGTATAATTGATTTAATATATGAATTTATATTTAGTTCAACAACTGACAAAAAAGTGACATGTTTGTGTATGCAAAATCATAAAACCTACTCCTTAATTTAGTTTGCTATTGCATTCATCATGCATATTCATCATGCATGATACATGCTTATTACATTATCAACAAGCATCAATGGCAGGCTGTATAATTAAATTCATATAACATATAATCATATCTTAACCACTTTATAACATTATAAATTCTAATTAATAAATTAGTACACGGTTAATCATCTGCTAAACCCGTGGTTCATTAGCTCTTAGAAAAGTTCCAAACGTGGAATTAAACAAGTATAGTATAGACTATAGACACCTATTATTACTACAAGTTGCAATTGAGAAATAGCAAGTAGTATAATCATTAATTGACTTGTAAATATGTCAATTTAATTTTGTACTAGTTTGGTGGGTGACCTTAAAATAAACTTTTGCATTCAACATTTGTCAACTTCACACTGAAATAAAAGTACAAAAAGTTATATACGTGTATATCTAACACTTTACCAGCATACTAGTGATCTAGATCCTCATTTCTGGCTGTGACAAACAGATGAGACAAACCAAGTCAAACACATGTATATTTATATATAGAGAAACACACATCATATATTTAGGCCATTTTAGGTGTGATTTCGTGGATACTTCCTCATTCATTTATTGTAAGAATGCTAAAACAGATAAAAGACCAAGTCACCGACTTGTATCGCAAGGATTATGTACCGACTACACAGATATGAGTTGGTAAGGTATGCAGTGACAGAATATAAAGGATGTGTTGAAAATTTCTGAGGAAATTCAAGATAAAAATAATAGAGAAGAAAGACTAGCTAATTTAGGACTATATAGTAAAATAGAAATAAAGTGTATTATCATGATAAATAAGTAGAAGATTATATAAACACACGTTAATAAGGACGAACGTAGTATTTGTCTATGTTGATGTGTTCTTGTATGCTAATTCTCTGATTTATTTGACGGGTTCAAATTCAAAATATGCATAACAATATTAATTTCAACTATGTTATATTGAGAGTGGCTAATATTTAAGATAGTAATATATATCACTTGAGAGAATTCTTATTCCCAAAAAAATTTAAATTAGACCATCCGCAAGAACTTTTCATTTAGATATTTAAATCTAGAAATTTTTAGTTGTTGATACCTAGAGTTTAAATAAAATCTACACGTAAAGAGTGTGAGTTTCAAATTCTATAATCTTATAAGAATACGGTTGATGGATAATCTATAATCACCTCTATTAATATTTATTTTGCGCTGGAATCAGAATTGATCGGTGAATGATGGATATGGATCGTAACAATGGATTAGAGGCTTTTAATATAGTGAAAGAGAAACTGATCTGTAAGATTAATAATCCAACATCTTGTTTGGGGAAATAAGATGTACATCAATGCAAAAAGAACGTCATTATGGTGGAGGGATATTAAGGTTTTAAGAGAAGGGGAGGCTGGTTCATGTTGAAATATTAAAATAGATTATATTAGATTTAATTAGATTTAATATTTAAATATAATCTAAGTTGTGTTAGCCTAAGCCCAATTAGGAATGTATATAAATAGTCATAGTATGTATCTTTATTTTGTATAATTCATTAAGTGAATAATAGAATTCTTATTTTCTTTATTATTCTCTCATCATTAAAAGTGTCTCACCTACTAACAAATTGATATCCAGAGTTTTCAGTTGTTGTTCTTGATCTATTTTTCAAGAACATCACGTCAGAGATCGTGTTTTCAGGACAAGTGAATCAACCGCTGCGAAGATGGCTAGTAATAAAGGCATTCTGAATTCTCTTCCAATGCTTGACGACAAAAATTGGATCCGATAGAAAAATAGATGTAATCCTTGTTTGGCTTCTATGAAATCCTAGAAGTGGTTACCAACGACGTTCTTGTGTTGACTGCAAATGCAACTGATGAACAAAAAAAGCCCACAACAAAGTCAAGAAGAAAGATTGCAAGGATGCTTATTGCATTCAGACGGAGGTCGACGCTGCTAACTTCGACAAGATTTCTCATGCTGAAATAACGAAGAAGACATGGGATATCCTGGTGAAGTATTACGAAGGAGGTAAGAAGGTCAAAGTTGTCAAGTTATAAACCTTGCGTTGATAATATGAGTTGTTGTCGATGGGAGAAAACAAAAGAGTTGCAGAATATGTGTCGAAGATTCAGAAACTCGTCCATCTCATGAAGGATTTTGGTGAAACCGTAACTGATAAGATGATAGTTGAGAAGGTAATGATAATGTTAACCTCTCATTTTGATCACGTTATTATAGCTGTTCAAGAATCCAACAAACTTGAAACCCTAAAAGTGGAAGATTTGGTTGGTTCATTGGAGGTGCATGAGATGAAGATTGTCGAAAGAAAAAAAGTTCATGACTTGATACAGGCACTGGAAGCTCAGTCATGGAAAAGGAATGGTGGTTCCAACAAATTCAAAGGAAATATCGACAAGACTCAGGGAAAGAAGTCTTGGTCGAACCCTCACAAGCATCAGATCAAAGACAAAGCTTCTGAATTCTCGAAAAGAGGAGGAGAAAATTATCGAAAGGACAAAGAAGATAAAGAAAGGTGTGCAGTGCTATAACTGTGAAAAGTGAGGTCACCTAGGTATAGAAAAGATAAAGGATCGACAGACAAGGACGAAGGAGTAAACCTTGCACGCCAAGATTCAGATGATTCTGAAGGTGGTATGGTGGTTATGACTGCAGTTGCAGATAACCATGTCGAATCCAAGATCTGGTTTCTCGACTCAGGATGCTCGAACCACATGA